CGGAATGGTAGGTAGAATTTGAGGCAGGTCCTGGTTGCTTAGACCTAGCTCATTTCTGATGACTCTTCTAGGGCGGGTTACCTTGAGACGCTCATTTTGAGATTGTAGTGCAGGCTCTACATAGTCACGTAATGGAAGAAGTAGACCTGTTCCGTACAGGTCCTGGACTTCGGTGTATTTCGGTAGCCCTGTGGCGATGGGAATGCATGTTTTGTTGATGCATTCAAGTTTTTCAAGCTGAGTCGCCGTCGTTGGCAGGAAGGGTAGTCCATAAAGAAGCCTTGAGTGGACGAGCGTTTGTGCGAGCCTTTTAATTTGACCTTCGGATAGGCCCCGGGCGCAATTGTCAACTTTCGCAGCACTCTTGTTGTCTGTTTCGTAGTGCACAGCGCTTTTTCTAGCCATTGAGTGGACTTGGCGTTTTGTTGACATATAATGCCTAGAACCTTAATGTGCTCTTTGCGCTGTATGCTTGTGTTGCGTACAGTAAGTTGAGTTTTATCTTGTATAAACTGCTGCTTGCTGTGGTTTGTAGGTTTCAAAACGACTATAAATTCGGTCTTTTCCGGTGAAACCTGGAGACCTTGCCTGTCAAAGAAAGTGGTGATAACATCAATTGCCATCTGGAGTTGCTGCTGTTAGGTAGAGATATTTCACACGTTACATTAAATTGTAACGTCGTCGGCACAGATTCCCGCCGAGATGGACTGGACTTCATTTAGAAGAAAGGCAAGAGGGCGCATTGTTATGTTAAACAGTGCTGGAGAGATAACGGCTCCCTGCAGAACTGCGATTTTGTTGGAGTATTATTGACTATTGAAAGAGCCTATTTTTTAAGAAAAGGTCCTGCCCTGGAGAAAACTCCGGACATAATTATACAGCCTTCTACCAACAGGCAGTTCTGATAGCTCTCGTAGTATAGTATCATGGGGCACTGAATCGAAAGCCTTCTCTACGTCAATACCTGCAATAGTACTCGGTCAATAAGGTGAAGGGTTCTTTAGCACGTCCTCGTATAGGCACCGTAGTGTGTCTTGAGTAGACAGGTGGGTTCTAAAACCAGTTTGGGTCTAGTGATAGTGCTTCGTATTTTCTAGCATCCATGTGAGGCGCTTGTTCACCATTCGCTCCATCACCTTTCCGATTACCGAAGTTAACGAAATTGGCCGAAGGTTACTTGCAGTCGTCGGAGATTTGTTTGATTTATGCAGTGGTATAACATTTTAATGTTTCCAATCTTTTCAGAGATTGCCATCTTCCCATACTTGATTGATGATGGAAAGAAGAGGGGTTAGTTGGTTCTCTGTCAGTTTCTGTAATTGTTTGTAGGTAATCATATCAGGGCCCAAAACTGTTTTACAATTCGACTCCTTTAGTGGTATTATAGGTTCTTGAATTGTGAAGGGAGCATCCATTATGTCGTTGCTTTCTTTTTCTCTGGCCACTTTGGATACTCCGAATGCCTTGCCGGTTGTGCAAAAAATGTGTTGGCGCACGTATCAGCAGTGGCTGGTTCTGATGAATGGGAAGCCAAACAGAGTTTTTCAGTGGCTGTTCGAGTTTCGCCCCAGCCTTCCAATGATTTGACAATGTTCCATAGCCTTTGATTATTTATCCAACCGTCTATCTGGTTGCAGCAATCCTGCCATTGTTGCCTACGTAGCTTGCATGCGTAATTTAATGCTTGTCTAGTAAGAAGCTTAAGATTCAGACGATTGCGAGCTGATTTTGCAGTCATGTATGCATGTAAAGCAGGTATGCTTGCCTCTCACAAATTAAAGAGGTGCCTATCGAGTGCAGGCTTTTGACGAATCTTTTTGTAGGTTCTGCTTGCCTTCCTTGTTGCTTCTCATATATGTTTTGTAAATTCATCATGGGTGACTGTTTTAGGGCATCTATCCATATAAGACCGATACTTGTCCCAGTCAATGAAGGAACACTCCTTTGACATAGTAAAAACTTCGCCCCAGGCAATCACAGTTGGTAAGTGGTCGCTGCCAATATTGTCGGGCCATATGCCCCAGTGCGTACCTTTTGGTAGGTGCCTAACCCACGTGAGGTCTGGCGATGCATTATTCTGATTCGCGCCACCAACCATTGTGTATTTGCATGGCATGTTGAGGAGGGTGAAGCCGGTGTCTTCGAAAGCTTTTTTGAGTTGCTTCACTATGGGAGAATCTTGTGAGTATCCCCGGAAGACGCATGGTGTGTTAAAGTCTCCCAGAATTACGGTTGGACCTTTGGGGTCTATTTTACTGAGGGGGAGCTCCACATTACTTGATTTGGGAGGTCTGTAGCAGTTTATAATTTTGTATGTCTTGCCCTCTATTTCAGTGCGAGTCTGAATGCTCGAAAATGAGACTGAAGAAAAGAGGTCATGAACCGCCGGAAGGTTTTTCTTTGTATACGTAACACATCGACCAGATGAAACGCCACCATAACCTGGAATAGGGCACTATTTACCCGGCTTTTGCACGTAAATGATGTCGGGAGTTTTTTTAGAGCATTTATGATGTAAAGAAAGTCATGAACTTTGTTGGGAAGGCTTTTCGCATTTCACTGAATTATCAGAGGCATGATTCTTAATCTATGGTTTCTTCTTGATCTGCACTGGCAATAGGCCTGATGCGTTTGTTACCTTTAACCGACGTTTTTGGTTGGAGTGTCTTTATAATGTGTTGCATGTGCTGTAGCTCTGCAGCGATTGCTCGAAGCAACGCTCGCATTGCTCATGCTCGGAGGGGAGGTGCTATTGACTCAAGGTTGGAGCGTCTATGGCAGCGTTTTGTTACTTCGATTGGATTATATCAGCTTTAGGTTGATCAATAGTTTTCTGCTTGTCACTGATTATTTGGAGATACTTCTTCTGGGTGTTTTGTAGTTCCGCTAGCTCTTGCAGAACGCTTGGATATGCGTCTGTGGTGCAGGCGAGGCATTAGATGGACACTGCGCGTTATGCACCTTAGCTGCATATGTGGCGGGGGACGCTAGCTGCGTCGGAGCTTGTGTTACTGACTGCGGGCGCATCTGTGGTGTGAGTGTTAGTTGATCGGTTGCAGGAGACGGAAAGTTTACTTCCTCTGACTGTTGCGTCTACTGGGTCTTTTTGCCTGATGCACAGCGGCTTGGTGAGGAAGAGGGTGCCGCTGGCTTGTGTGGTTTGTTCACTCGCTTACGAAGAGCAGCAGTTGCCGCTGCTATATTTGGACAGTCGGGCGAGCGCGAGTCATGGGGTCCACTGCAGTGTATGCATTTTGGAGTACAGATAAAATCCTCCGCGTGTTTCGTGTGGCACTTTCTGCAAACTCCATGGTCCCATTTTTAAGGCTGTGCAAACGTCAGCTCTGTGTCCTATGCCTAAGCAAATCAAGCATGACGTTATCTTGGGTCTGTATTTGTGCACAGGGAAACGTACTGATTCGAAAGCCACATATTCTGGCAGGTTTGAACCGTTGAACGTAATTGGTGCTGTCTTAGACGACCCGAAGGGCCGTGCTGACACTATTTCGTGAGTTGGACTTGTCAGGCCTTGCATTAACTGCCCTTCAGTTAATTCCTTGATTCTGTGAATGACGCCTCTTATGCGCCCTTCACGGAGCGCAACATGGGTAATAAGTTGCAAGATTTGATCGTCAATGATCAGGTGCTCAAGGTTCAGCAGTAGATGTGCAGCTTGCTCTATGTAGCAATCAACTACTGCTAGGTTAGATTTGGTGAGAAGTCTGTAGTGAATGTCCGTCTTTATTTTAGAAAGACTTAGACGGAGTCTATACGCAAACTGGTACGGCGGAGTCTGGGTGATGCTAAATGCTTTAGGCCTCGAAATTATGGTCTCAAATAAGGTCTGTGGCTGTGGGGAGGTTGGTGGCTTGGGTCGCGGCAGTTTTCGGTTTTGGACTACAGTCCAGCTTTTCTGGTCGTCCATAGCAGTATGCTCGGATGCCGCACGGCGCTCAGCAAAAAGATGCTGGCTTATTTGCTTTCCTGCGGTGGTGGGGCCGTTTAGTGGTGTGTCGCTCGGTAGCCCTGACCGGGATGATCTCTGGATGATTAGGTGCACTGGCTGGCTGTTAGAGGCATCATCTAGTTGGCTGAGGGGTTGGAATCTTGACGGTGCGATCACGTCTTCTCTTACGTGGGCTCCCCTACAAGAGGAGCCACCTTGGTGATGAGCGGCACAAGAGAACGGTTGACAGAGTCCAGAAGCGTTCCTTACAGCAGCGCGCCGCGACAACCTTCCAGCTCGTCGGTCGAGAAGCAACTCCCTAGTAGTAGTAGGTAGCAAACTCTCATTTAGTTCTTGGAATGTCCACTGGACGGCAGTGCTTCTTCTATACGATGAATATAAGATGAAAATATGTGAAATGGCGGTACTTGGAGTGTTCACTAGATGACGAACGGGTGGATGGACGCGTGGACGGACGCGTGGAAGAACAGACATACAAGAAGACGGGTGAATGAATGGACACGTGTTCAGCCGCTTGTACAAACAGATGCATGGATGGACGGACGCACATGTGGATAGACGTAGCACAGTCGACCGGATGAACGCATGGACACGCAGACGGTCGCATGGACGGATGCACGGACGGACGGATGGATAGACGCACGGACGAACGCAGGTGCAGATGCAAGGGCGGACGGCCGCACGGACGAAAGGAAGCGCGGATGGACTGATGGACGCTTCGCCCCACTCATAATCCACTCCGTGGGTTTGCTGTGATGTTTTTTTTCTTGTTCCTACGGTTGTATACAAAATTTACAAACAAAAATAAGTCAATAATGAATGAAAGATTGAATGAATCAATCAATCAATCAATCAATCAATGAAGTAGGCTTCTTAGTAAGCCAGCGAGGTTCACGCATGGCAGCACGGTCATGCGTAATGGGATGGTAACAAAGTTTAAGCAAGGAGTGTGATGATATGAGTCCTAATTTGTTATGCTTACGTCCGCTTTTCTTTTAAACAAGAATTTATGTCAATTCTTTGTATGGCATAGGTGACGCAGGTTACTATGACGAAGATGGCCGCCTGTTCTTCGTGCAACGGTTGAAGGAGATGATAAAGTGCATGGAGAATCAAGTTGCTCCAGCCGAGCTCGAGGAGCTCTTGCTTCAAGAACACTCATTGCATATCGCAGAGGTGGCGGTAGTGGGGCTGCCTGACACCCGCTATGGAGAGGTACCCGCAGCCGCCATCGTGCCAAGAGACAAGGATATAATTGCTGACCCCTCCATATTCACGGAAAGAGTTAAAGTTACCATAGCAGGTTGGTTCATTTTGAGGTAATATTCACCTAAAAGGCCAATGTCATGTATTAGTACTGAGTCATTCTTTTATTGAACATTCTCAAGCTTGTAATTGCACTAGTACCTCCTATAGGAATGTTTTTTTGACTCAAGGCAGAAATTAAGTGAAGACACTTTCTATAGCTAACACAAAATAACCAAAACATTGCGCAGAACGTCAATTTTAGCACATTTCATATTGCCTAAGAGTCTGTAAACTGATGTTCTACGACTTTACATATGCATGCTCCGATTAAATCAGTCTTACTTTAAAAACAACACACCCCAGTTCTCAGCTCCTTACGGTAGATTATGTTTACTTTTTCAAATACTTGCTTTGTCCTTGCTGTTTGATTTTCTTTATAATACTCTATTTTTACATCCTTTACTTATTTCTATCGTTCAGATGTTTTTTTTTTCTTCCGCTAAAACCCGAGGCGTCACGTGGGCTAATGCTGAAATTCACATCAGCCGCATATCTCTTCAATCAATCAGAACATGCACACTTTTTGTCTTACTTTTTCCCCAGCATACACATTTTCTTTACTTCGTTTTTCGTTATAGCTATGCGTTCTAAAATGGCCTGAACTCCCTTCGAACGGCCAAGTGGTTCCACTTGAATAATCATGAAGCGCCTTCGTTCGTATCATAAAATGCCTCCGTGATCGGTCTCGGCTGACAGCTCGACAGGTGCTGTTGTTATCTCGGCGTTCGATGTCACCATTAGGTTCGAAGGGTCCCACAAGAAAACATCGAATGCAGCGGAGCTCCGCCTATAGTGCGGCTATACTTAGTATTGCAGAAGCCCGGCCTAAAGAATGGACTGTCTTCTGCGACTCTAACACATCCCTTCAGAGCTTGAAATAATGAAGAACTGGTAAATGAAATGAAACAAGTCCTTCACCAAGTTTTTTAGAAAAGACTTGATGAGTTGTTCCAGTGGTTACCAGGGTAGTGTGGCAGTGTCGGTGACAACCTTGCTGATGAAGCGGCCCGATCTACCCACCAGAACACCCCGAATACTCTTGTCGAGAACCGATGCCGCAAGGGGTCTGCTTTCATTCGCTGGCACAATGTCGGAAACTTGGTTTAGTGACTCCAGTGTCGAGAGCCACCGCCTTCATATATTGGACCAACCGAGAAAGCTTCGAGTTCCATCAGACCTCTCCCGCCGGAATGCAATTTTACTGTGCTGCCTGTGGTCAAAAGTAGCTTTCACGAAGGCGTACTCCTTTCGCATAGGAATGACGGATACATCCAGAAGTGACTCATGGGATAGCGATGAGACAGTAGACCATCTACTGCGTTCCTGTGATCATTTTCAAGCGAACGCAACGGGCTATGCGAAACGTTAAACAAACTAGATAATGGACTTTTTTTCCGGAAAGAAGATTCTCTGTTCATGGCTCTACGTATAACAGGCCAGCAAAGCGACATGGGCACTGCTAGGTTTCGTATAGTCGACCACACTTAATGACTACTTATAAGCGTACAGTGAACAGACCACATGTACGGTGCCTTCACTTCTCCTCGCTTCCCTTTCTTTTAATCCTCTCACCTGTTCTCAACATACAGAGTAGCGAACCGGACGTACCTCTCGGCCTTTCATTTCTTTTCTTTCTTCTGTTCCATTCTTCTTTCGTTTTTGCACTTTCGCTTGTTATTCAGGGCCACTTTTCAACACTGTCATCCAGCAAATACTACCCTGATCTCTATTTTTTTTCTTGACAGTATTTGTTGCCGTACTGTTTACGCTGCTAGCTTAATATTCACTGGTGAGCCTGCTAGCTCTTTTTTTTTTCAGTGTGAGTTGACTCTCCTTCAGAAAAATAACGGAACACTATAATATCAATATACTCTTTTTCATATCCCTCCTACTCTATTCGAAACCTACTTTATTTTGAGCTTCCCTTGCCTCAAAACTTGTCCACCCCTTATAACCCTGCTGCAGTCTCAAGTGTCGTCTTACCCTGAGCTCCTAACGCAAGGCATAGTACTTATTTATTTAACATCGATTCCTGATTGAATCATCGGCCTCATGCCCCACACTGAGTACCCAAATGTAAACGCTGCACCAAATCTACCTTTCCACAGACCTCGAAGCACCTCTTACTTAATGAACCCCCATAACTTATTGCGCTCAATTACTGCAGCATTCCTCTTTCTCTTCTATCTACCTATCAACCTCATCTACCCCTACTTCAATGTACTTATATTCACTTACCCTCTGCATCTCTTGGCCCTGTACTGAGATCGCCTGATCATTGACATTAATGAATACCATCAATACACATTTTGTTCACCAATTTATAGACATCACCGTCCGCATATATCCGCCAGCCGCTCTAAATTATCTCGACTGCCCACAAGTTGGACAATATTGTCCAGATAAACTTGGAAGCTTCTGCTCAATCATCTCATCAGCCTGTTTGTGTTACAGATTAAAACCGATGTTATTAAATTCTAGGGCTTTATTCATTCTAACTCTATAAAGCATCAATAACAGTGGGGACAAGAAAACCTTCCTGTCTCGTCCCTTTGCTAACATCAACGATCTTGTTACATCATTACGACGCACGCAACGTGCGTACTAAGTGCAACAGCACGCCCTACACGGGCTAAAACGCATTTCTCAATCCCTTTCACTTGAAAGTTTGCAAGTATCAACTGGCAGGGCGGAGGGCAAACAAAAATCACGTGTGTCACGAGCGCTTGCAGAGCAGTTCGATATATAGCTACTGACGTCCCCATACAACGCTTTTGCTCCTTCAATACTGAAGTCGCTGTACTATATTCGTTGAGGAGAGAGCGCCTAAATAACCGCGCCTTTAATAGTGCGGTCTTTTATAACTTTGAAGTGCACCCACACGTGTTTACGTGTAACACCAAGAAGCCAATCTCTGTCATTAACAACGTTATCGGCGTGATTATTTAAGTGCTCGTTCAGGTCCATGCCGGTATGGCCCACGTTACATGCCCCGCGAAAAACTAGATTAAAACAGAAAAGAGGGTATCCTCCACACTAAGTTTCGCCCACACTCACCAACCAGTTTTGTGCATCAATAAGCACCATCTGGTGGGCCTTTTAACGAGGTAGGTCTTGTTAGAAAACTGGTATATTTTATGAGGAGCACTGAAAACTAATAATACATTCAGACATTATGCTAATGCCTTTAGACGATGGGATATGGAGTGTAAATACGGAATAAGCACCACCCTTCCCCGCTTGAAAGCTGGAATGAGACAAGAGTCACGTTCACCGCAGTTGTCCACCACCGGTGTCCTTAAATACTACAGTGCAAAATAAAAGAATAAGTAAATAAAAAAACAACGAGGACACAATGTCTGCTCCAGTGAAGCAATATTTGTTAGCAGGTGCGACTGTGAAATGCTTCGCATTTGAAAAGGCACTGAAACGGCGCTTTTTCAGCTTTTGCTGTGACTGCCACGCGTTCCGCGCAGACCTGACAGTATTTTTCTCAGTGGTGCGCTCCGTTTCGCCATCACCGCTCTTATGTTTCTTTTGTGTGTGTGTGTGTGTGCGTGCGTGTGTGTGTGTGTGCGTGCGTGCGTGTGTGTGTGTGTTGTGTGTGTGTGTATGTGTGTGTGTGCGTGTGTGTGTGTGTTGTGTGCGTGTGTGTGAGTGCGCCTGTGCGCGCGTGTGTGTGTGTGTTTGTGTGTGCGTGTATGTGTGTGTGTTTTGCTTCCGACACAGAAATGAGCTCTGTACAGAATAGCAGCAGGAACATGCAAAGTGGTTTGGCTAAGCCACTGCAATCTATAGCAATTCACATGTTTAGTCTTGTAACAAATTACAGGGTTCCGGCAGAGAGCTTCAATTGGTATGCTAATGAACATTCTCTTACTGACTCACCTTATACGTAAAAAATCGTACAGCTGGTCTTCGGGTCCCTTAAACCTAACAAAGTGCAGCTTCATTGCTTCGCATACTAAAAAGTTCGAACGTCGTGATTTTTTTATTATTTGTAGAGTAGAAATGTTGTGAGGAGGAGGTCGAACAACAGCTACAGTAACAAAATGTTTCGTAGTTGAACATGGATGCTCATTTTCTAAGTGCCGTGAACTACAGCTTTGAAGTGAACCGACATACTGTAGTGAAAAATTTGAGTGACGAGCGTGAAGCGTGTCAGAGTTCCAGCACCTCTCACGCTTAGCTATATACCGTCTGCATGGCTGATTGGCAACACTTCAGTAAATCTGCCACAAAACTCCACGAAGATAGGTCCTCCAGGTATTACCCAAGCAGTGAGTATAACTTTACGAGCCCAAACCAAACAAGCCACGAACAGCAGCCTGAGAAAGGCGCAAGTGAACTACCGCGTCGCTAACATAGATGTTGAGATGCATAAAAATGTGTGCTCACAATTATCTTATTTTCAAACATAACCTTTCTAGCTGCTCTTTTAGCGGATGCGCGACACATATAGTGGCATCTTCAAAATGATGCAATCACTGTAATATCAATGTCATCACCTTACACTGAATCTCTCGAAGTTACATAAACAGTTGAAAAATTCCAAAATAAATGTTTGATCATTTTGATTTGGTGGCTATGTAGAAGTGATGTTTTTTAGTTACATTGGGACAGACATGTTACATGACTTGTACTGCTCATCGTTCATGAACACTTGCCATTCTCTTATGGCTTAAAATGTAACCACTCATAACTACGCTATCGTAATGCGGCAGGAATGTATACATGTTGGCACTGTCCTCTTCAATTTGTTTCAGAGACTATGGCTGCTCATAAGCATCTGTACGGCGGCGTCTTCTTGTACGACTCGTTGCCGAAGAACGAGATTGGTAAAGTGAACAGAATTGCTCTCGTCAAAAAGATGACTGGCAAAACACCATCGTAGAATGCATGCCCTGCTGTGCTGGAGAAAGACCGGGCGGAACTACAAAAACATGTCGGTTTCGGGAAGCCAAGTTTCACCAGCACCACGCTTGGGCAGTACGCCTATGTTATATGCAAAACAACAACAACGTGTTTCTGACTGTCACTGACCCCTTGGGTGTTAATTTCCCGTCATGGGCGTGACGCGGGCAGGCCACGCCCCTTCGAGGGTCATTGCATCCTCAGGACTAAATAAAGTTATTCAAAGGTATTCAATCATTCAGTCAATCAGTAGACTCCGTTAACAGTTTTGCCAAGAGATAAAATGCAAATGAACACAGTGAACACTTGAAAAGTTTCCTTACGAAAACCATCTGAGTCCATGTGTTTCTTCTGCAGTAAACTCGAATACGTGGTAAAGGCCTAAGGAGTTATCACTTCACTTTATCAAGACTTGCCTGGCATGTATTGACAGGGCTAAACGCATACTCAACAAGCAAAAGCATCATGAAAACAGGAGTATAGCATACGAATGTAATGAAAACACAAAACAATCTAATATTAGGAAACCCCAAAGATTGAATATAAAATTACGTTAAAATCATGCGCTATACCATATGGGTGGCATTGCTTTCACAAAAGCAAGTGCACACCATTGGCAGTTGATCTTGCCTTTCAGTAATATCGAACCAGATGATGCTTCCTCCAATGTCATACTAAGCCGTGTTTTCAGCACCTAGTGGCTTTCGTTCAAGACACAACGGCGCACTTGGAGACCGCCAGTTTTCGAAAGAAAACTGAAGCATGTGTATTCTTTCACAATCAAACCCACGTGCACCATTTATATGGAGCATTAAAATGAGAACTAAGAGGCAATGTAGTCAGAATAAGACTAGGGTATTCGAGATTAACACCGTTAAAGACGAAAGAGCCGCCAAATAAGGACACGTGCAACAGTGCTGTTTGCCTGGCCTTTCATCTTTCGCACTGTTTCCCTTCAATATTTCATACAAACATGCCCAGGCAACAACATTAGGTAGATGTATAGCAAGTGTTATCGCAAGTTATTTTATTGTAAATGTGAAGAAAACTAGAAGAACGTGCTACCGGCCAGGTCCTAACCTGCGGCCTTCGAATAACGCGTCCGATGCTCTATACCTTTGACCTATGGTGGTGGTCATCCTTCCCGTTTGCATCATAGGATGTGCATGTGCATTTATAAACGTGGGAGAGTCAGTTATTGCCACCTGTTGCCATTGAAGTGAGTGTGAATTGCTCTTTTGCCTGTTGGTGTCACAAAGCACATGATCTTATTGCGAGCTGGCAGCTCACCAATGATTCCTCACATACTACCTGAAGGCACCAAGACTGCCAGAACGAGACCCTTGCTATAAAAAAGGAAACAAGTGTAATTTTAAAAGATCGTTTTCATTGTTAGATACAATATCAAAATGAACTAACAGAAAATGATGCCAAGACAAGTGCAGGATATGTTATTAGAAGTTGTTGTAATGTAAATGCGAAAAAAAGTGGGCAACGAAACGATGTCACCGGCCGGACCCGGTACATCTAACGTAGTGCGAGTGCCCCGCCGCGGTGATCTAGTGGCTAAGGTACTCGGATGCTGACCCGCAGGTCGCGGGATCCAATCCCGGCTGCGGCGGCTGCAATTTCGATGGAGGCGGAAATGTTGTAGGCCCGTGTGCTCAGATTTGAGTCCACGTTGAAGAACCCCAGGAGGTCGAAACTTCCGGAGTCCTCCACTACGGCATCCTCATAATCATCATATGGTGGTTTTGGGACGTTAAACCCCAAATATCATGAAGCGCTTTTTTGCCACTAAACGATTTATTGGAAAAGGAAGAGTATATAAGCAGGCAACCAAGAACAACGCGTGCGTGTGCAGGTCAAAAGCACACCCGCGGCAACTCGAGAACACAGAGCAAAAGCAGAAAGATTATGCAGAAACATAATCTAGAAAAGCAAAACCGAATCGTGTTGCAAAACCGAAGCCTTTGCTCCACGAATTGACTCATGAGTTGACGGAAACTTTTCACATAAGAAAAAGAGAAGAAAAATGCGTCAGCATGTGCATAATTCGTGTATATTCTCCATGCATAATCGATAAAATACAGGGCCGTAGCTGTGAACCTACGAACAGAGCACAAGTACGTGACCTAGAGCCTCGTTTTAACGCGATACCGCTGAAGAGCTCGTTTCGCGGAAATTCTGCCGTCGGCATTGGTGTCGGAATCAGCGTCGTCGGATGTGACCAAATATTATCATCTTATGCGTCACTGAAAAATTGAGAGCGATTCAAATAAAATAAATAAATGATGATAAAATTGGCAGATCCCACGTACAGTTAGAATCGATGATATGCGAAACACGAAGGAGAAAGGGTGATCTGTAACATTAAAATCAGCACAACGTTACGAGGTGGAGGTAAATGATGCCGTACATGACTTTCGTGTCATGATTATCATTTTTGAATGTGTCGCTTACCTTCGTCATTTATTCACGCCACGTGATACCAAGTTTAGTATACGTGGAGCTAGTGAAAAGGCCGCGAGCGCATCATAAAGTGCCCATTATATTCCAATGTAGCATCGACGCGTGCGCACGCTCGGGCACAGCGAGGCTACGTTATCGAAACGGGAGGATTCTATAGTCTGACGGAAGGCGCGACCGGTGAGACCAGCGTCCGTCAGCGCGGCCCGACGGCAACCGGCGCGAAATGTGACACGCTGCATTTCGCGTCAATGCGTTACCCAGACAGCACTGCGTCTCTCTTTTGGGACGGATGGACGCCGAACGCGCTAAAACGCGCATGCGTCAAAGCAACGCAGCGTGGAACAGGCCTGCGAGTATATGGCAGGACCGGCGCCTAACGTGGCAACGCCGGCGTGACACGACGAAATGAACGCCGGCGAGCTAGCGCCCGTCACGTCGAAATGTATTGGCACCTTGACTGTGCCATGTAGTCATGTTCTCACATGACACGCATCTCATGATTATCATGTTTTCACCAGTCACATACCTTCGTCATTCATTGGCATCACGTATTACGAAGTTTCGCGTATATGAAGCTAACGAAACGACCGTGAGCGCATCGTGAGTGTGGCATGTAGTCATGTTGTTACGTGACACGCATGTGTTAATTATCATGTTTGGATGTATCATTTACTTATGTTGTCCGTCCGCGTCACGTATTACCGAGTTGGGTACATGAGAAGCTAGCGAAACGACCACAACTGCATCAAAAGTGTAGCATGTAGTCATGTTGTCACATAACACGCATCTCATGTCTATCATGTTTGCACCAGTCACGTACCTTCGGCATTCATTGACGTGACGTAATACCGAACTTGCAATATGTGAAGGTCGCGAAACGGCCACCAGCGCATCATGATCGTGGCATGTAGTCATGTTCTTACATGACACGCACGTGGTTATCATCGTATGTTAGCGCTGGTCACATACCTGCGGCATCCATTAACGCGGCCAGTAGAGCTAAATGTAGTAGGTGGCTCGATAGATAGATAGATAGATAGATAGATAGATAGATAGATAGATAGATAGATAGATAGATAGATAGATAGATAGATAGATAGATAGATAGATAGATAGATAGATAGATAGATAGATAGATAGATAGATAGATAGATAGATAGATAGATAGATAGATAGATAGATAGATAGATAGATAGATAGATAGATAGATAGATAGATAGATAGATAGATAGATAGATAGATAGATAGATAGATAGATAGATAGATAGATAGATAGATAGATAGATAGATAGATAGATAGATAGATAGATAGATAGATAGATAGATAGATAGATAGATAGATAGATAGATAGATAGATAGATAGATAGATAGATAGATAGATAGATAGATAATGCTCAAAGTCGCCGAAGTTCGCCGAGAAATGATTCGCATTTAGAAAACCCTGGACAAGTGTGGAGACCAAACCAGTGATGTTTTTACAGGGAATTTTCCCGTTCTTGGGGAATTTTCACCCATAATTTTGAGCCAAAGAGAAAAAAGAAATCTTCGTGATATTGCAGAAAATGTCAGGAATGATTAATTTCTTCGATGATGGCCAATAATTAGCTGTCACTGTGCACCTTCATCTGCTGTAAATGGTTCTAGCACTATCACCACTCAAGCATAGCCTTTGAGATTTCTTTACGATATTTACGTATAACAATTTCTTGTTCGCTATTGGTGTTAGGCTTGACAGAGAAGAAGACACATAACACAAACACAGCGCTATCTTGCGACAAGGCAGTTTATTCCGAGAATGCACAACACATATACTCTGACATGGTGCGTAACAAAGCACGAGCTCGAACCAGAAATCGTGTATTTAAAGCAAAGCATGCGACGCTAAAATATTCTATTTCTTTCAATGATAATGATGATACACGTGTCACGAAACTTTGCGATGAATCGCGCTTCTATACTGAGCCATGTCATTTCGTTAGTGTTACTTCCGCTTATGATTGTATGAATAAAGAGAGATGGGCAACCGTTCTTCTTGCAATGAGTTGCGAGAAAGCCCACAGGCTGCGACTTGGCAACTTTATTCTTGTGTTTGATGAGCCTATCAATGATGCATCTATTGGTTTGCCCTATATAGCATGCATCACACGTTAATAGGATCCGGTAGATGACTCCTGTGATGCACGCTACAAACCTGTGTCGGTGAATCTTTTTGCACAGACCTTTCTCTGGGCGCTCCGATTGGGTTTTTTAGCAAAGACTGTTTAGCTTGATGGGTGCCGAGAAAACTACTTTCAACTACTTATCTGCCTCGTCCAAGTTGCACTATACCTCAAATACTATGGATAACCAACAAGCCCGCTGCGCAACCTCAGTTAGACTTGAAGCCCCCAATGTACAGTGTACTAACAGTATAGGCAATAATAACGTCATTCTTTTGTTGTGCGGCAGTGTAGGGGCTAGTCATCACTTCAAAAGTCACCAGTGCGTGAGACACGTGCAATCATAGTATGTGTGTGGGTGTATGGGGGCGGAAATCAGTACTGTTGTGCAGGGATGTAGGCTGAGAATTTCGCCAACGTTTGCAGAGGAAAATCCCTGAAATAAGGAAGTTTTATGTCTCTCAATGGGAATTCGCGGTGTAGTAAGGAACATCACTGGACCGAACCAGGATTGTTTGGGTTCAAGCAGAGATCGAACCCGGGCCGTTTGCGTGGCAAGCGGATGTTATACCACACAACGACGCCTGTGCTTGTGAA